ATGCAGCCTGTCAATTTAGACTTACTTGTTATCAGTAGCAACAAAGAGTAGTCAGTCTGCTGGCTTCTCTGAGGAAAACAAAGAAAAGATTCTTTAAAATACTATTTTCACATGATTACACTCATTTCAAATACTGTGTGTTTGAAATCAGTTCTTTTTAATTTAGCGGAATTCAAAAATCTAAGTACAAAATTAGTGACTACACTCACATGTGGTTTTCTCCACATTTAATGAGGTTACACAGGAGCCTTGGTTTGTTCCCACTCTACACACATGCAAAATGAGTAAGTGCTGTAGATGCAGACAAGTGACTGCTGCACACCATTTTGAAAATCAAATAGGATTAAAGTAAGATGTAAACAAATTCTTATATTTGACTAGAAAATATAGACAAATGGACTCTCAATCTTACAAAGTATTAAGCTACTGAAGTCACTGGAACTTAAAAACATGCCTAAAATTCAGGTTTAAGTGGTCTCTTGTACTGGATTTCTAAATAAAGGACTTCATTAAATAAATGTATCCATTAAACATCTTTTAAATATCATCAAGCACCATGATAAAAGGTTCCAATAACCAATCCAGTTTTCCAATTTTTCTGATGATTTTACAGATAAATACATTGTCTTTTGTGACAAAAATGTTGCTGCTTTTATGTTCCATTAGTCCATGCTAACAGTTTAGACCACCCATTAATACACCTTCTTAACAACTCTGCACCATGCCTGTTATGATTTCACTCTCACAGAACTTGCATTCACTTTACTGATGGAGCATTATTATTAAAAATGCCTTCTCTTTATTTTGAAGAGTAAAGTATCCTCAAATTAAACACCCATTTTACTTCTCACCCATCCAACCCCTAATTGTTGTGAAAGACTTCTTAGAGGAAAAAAAAAAAAGTGTTCTCTGAGTATTTAAAAGCAGTTTAGCATAATGGCATGAACATTCCACATTAACTATGAGGTTGGAAACATCAGGTGGAAATGCACTCTAAATTGACCACATTGAGTGAGACCCACCTTTACTGTTTTAACTATATCACTTAAATAGAATGAGATGAAACTGGTACACAAACTGCTTATATACAGCTCAAGAAGCACAGAGAGAATATTAACAATGAATATTCTACACTTATCATCAGCCTCTTACTCTGCTGTTGCAAGTAATGTCCATGAAGTCAGTGAATTTATTAACTACAGTAAATTGGGATTAATATCATGCCTGGGAGGCATCAACTGCCCAGCACACAAACACTGGTTAAAAAAAAACAACCTTCAAAAGATATATTTTGATGTGGTTTTATTAAAAATTAGGATTACAGTTAAGAGGCTTAAATCATAAGGAGGGAGTCCATAGACAAGTTTACAATTTTGCTTATAAACTAGTTAGAGACTTTAGATTAAAAAGAACTGCTGCTAAGAAGTACCCAACTTCCAAAAATGTTACAAGTTTAAGGACTTAATCAGTACCTGACAGTCAAAACATAAGTGAGGCGATAAGATGGGCCTTAACTACATTACTCCATTCACACGTCAGACAAAAACTAAAGACACCAGCCACCTCCTTTCTTTATCCTCCTTTCAGGTAGTTGTAGAGAGTGATAAGGTAGCCACTGAGCCTTCTCTCCTCCAGATTAAAAAATCCCCAGTTCCCTCAGCCACTCCTCATAACAATTGTTCTCCAGACCCTTCACTAGCTTTGCTGCCCTTCTCTAGACCTGCTCCAGCAGCTTTATCTTTTAGTGATGGTCCCAAAACTGAACACAGTATTCAAGGTACAACACAGGATTTGCAGTGCATCTTCCTGGAAATTCCTTAACATGCAGTTCCACAGCTATCAGGCCCTTCTTTCTCCTCCAGAAAAAACAAACCCAATTCTCTCAGCCTATGCTAATAATTCAGGTGCTTCAACCCCCAGCCACCTTAATTAGGGGCCCTCTTCTGGCCTCACTCAAGTTTACCTACACTTCTCCTGTACAGAGGCAATTAAAAATGGTATGCCATATTCCAGATTTGATCTAATGAGTGGCAGGTAAAAGGGAATACCAGCTTCCCTAGATCTACTGCTGTGTTTACCTGATGCAGCACAGGATGCTGCATAGCCATCATCCCTGCCACAACATACAGCAGACTTGCTTTTAGCTGTCTGCCCACCAGAACCCCAGTCTTGTTCAGCAGAGCTGCTACCCAGCCATCCAGTCACCAGGTGGTACCACTGCAGGGTTTAACCCATTTCACCCACAGAAGTTTTTATTTTCCCTATTAATCTTGATTAAATTCCTATTCCTCCAGCCTTTCTAGGTCACCCTGAAAGACAGCCCTTGAGTTCATTACCTGCACCCCAATATGATGCAAACTTGACAAAGGTGCACTCCATCACCTGTTCCAGATCATTGACAAAGATATTAAACTTAATAGTTCTAACCTGGACCTCCAAAGGCTACATTTGTAACTAGCTGTCAGGTAGAGTATACAGCACTAATAACAAAGTCAACAGAGCAGTTACACTTTTTTCTCTTCAATTTTGCTTAACAGATATCACCAACATCCATTTTTTTCTTTGTTAATGTTAACTGAAGATTGTTCAATGCAATCTTTAGTTAATAAATAATACACTGCCTAATGTCAGTCCAACATAAATAGGCGCAAAATTCATTTTAGCAGAGTCACAGGTAGAACAAATCTAGCTCTGTTTCACAGTACAAAATGCAAATGCAGAAACAACACTGTAAGGACTGTAAGTTCTACAATCTTTTCAAGACAGATTACAGTATTGGGGCACATGCTGTCCTCTGTAAATAATGGCTGCCACTATCACAACCCTTACTCAAATGTGCTAATTACATCCTGTTATCAAATGATGATGCAATTAACCAGGGTCACTATTTCTTCTATACTTCATGCTCTTTTAGTGACCTAAAAGAATAAATTCAGGTATGTTCCTCCTTCTTAAACTTCCAAAATAATGAAATATAAAGGTTCCTCCATGCACTGCCATGACTTACAGCTTCTTCTTGTCTGTCTGTGATACTGTGGATCACCCAGGCCTGTAAATTACAGGACTTAAGGTTAAGTAAATTTCGCAATTTATCAGATACCTCATACACATCTTGAAATCTTTTTCTCAAATTCAGAAGATGACACAACTTAGAGGATGTAATCTTTCACAGATCAAGTCATACCGTTACACTTTCCTAGCATCTCAATTGCTATAAATCACAGCAGCTTCCTTAATTTGAGAAGGCTTCACATGACAATTTAGCCTTGCACATTAAGAATGGTTTATTTGTTAACTCGTCAAATGTAACTGCTTCTGATTTTCTTCCAGGAAGTCTGCCTGGCTTTCACCCTTATTAACACTGCAGTCTCCCAAACCTCTGTGAAACTCAGGATAATTAATTCCCAAAAGAGCTTCCTTTATGCATTAAGATGTAAACTTTGAGCTCATAAGACAAAGACACCTGTGGCCCTCAGCCTTCCACCTCCTGAAATAAGTGAAACCAAGTATCTAACACATCACCCCTCAGTCTTGCTTTCCATTACAGCTACTTAGGGCAATGACAGCTAAGCAATTCCTCAACATTTGACAGCTAGACCAAACCAGTGGCGTAACACATACAAGTACTAGTGGCAGAAGCTTATGGAACCACATACCTACACAGGCATAATTGTAGACACTGAACATACTTCTACTACACATGCACTGAAAATGCATGGGGTGACAGAAGCACCCATATCAAATGCATAGAGTGATAGAAGCACCCATATCATCACTGGGTATTTTGGACTTCTGAGTATGCTCTCGCCTTACAAGATTCAAGTAAAGATGAAAGAATGTAAACTCACTCATAATTGGGAACTCCAGATCACCAAGCAGAACTGACCTTTAGAAGCTCTATAGAGCCTAGGATCTGATACCTGGGCACCTACATTGCTTTATGTACAACTACCTCTTAATCCTACACTTCCAAAGTTAGAAGTGAAGCAACATATAAACCAATATGGAATAAGGCAAGTTAATTCATACCAATATGGGTAACTAGGAGAATGCACTTTCAGCTGTTTTAACAAGCTAGATGTTACCACACAAACATTAGCAGACCCAAAGGGTGCAGGTTCGATGCATATTGACTGCTAAGTGTTCAAAATGAAAGAAGCTGCTCAGGACAGAGCATCTAACTTAAAGAGAAAGGACAGAGCATAAGGGAATGAAAATGCCATGAGCACACATTTACAAACAGAATTAGCTCAAGAAGATTAAACCTTTTGGACAAGATCTGATGGGCATTCAATGGTAGGAGCCTACTGTTCCCTAAATTCAGTACAATCCCAGAACACAAAGCATCTTAGTTCTCAAAACTGGTTGGTTTTTCTTTTCTCTCCATGCAGTGCTAATATACTCTGTATTTTTCCTTAAACAAATTGAATAATCCCTTTCAACCCAGGAGTCATACTACTGAGAGAGATACACAGCCCTCAACTACAATAATCATCATGCAGCTGTTACACTTCTAAAGAAAACTAGTGCTCTAATAGCCTCATATTCTGGAGTACTTGATTTCTCAGTTGTCAAATAGAGTTATCACATATTATTCCAGCTGTACAATGTTGTTCAAGTCTGAAAAATAATAAGATTAAATTAAACCATGCATATTTTTTTCTGACACACACAAAAAAAAAAAAGCAACACCAAGGACAAAATCCACCCTAGATAAACAACTAAAATGGAACCCTGTAGGCTAAGCCACATCTTAGAGCAGTTAGATGCTCCAAGGTATCTTTCCTCCTACTGGCAGACTCAGTTGAGTTTCAACCTTCAGTAATTGCTTCTAGGAGGAAATTCAACAGGGGAAGAAGGGAGAGAGGCTATGGGCTTCAAGGTATGAGGAGACACAATAACTCAGAAGCCATTGGACTTCATGAAGAGAAAGAAGACACAAAGAATACTAACCAAGTTTTATCTTCCATATATAAATAAGATTTTCTGTATATAAGTACCTTGCTTACTTGAGCCAGCAGCCAATCTGGTGGTTTCTGAAGGGCTCACAAATGCTACCTGACCAGGCTCCCTGCTCGGCATCTCTCCGAGAAAGACCAAGGCTGAGGTCCTGAAGCATGCCAGAAACGGTTTCTGTGCTGCCCTCTCCTTCATAGCCTGGGGGAACTGGGAGCTAATCCTGGCTGACTGAAAGCACCTGCAATTTCAATCCCCAAACTGTGCAGCTGTTAAGAGCTAATTCATAGGGGCAGGAGGGCAGGTCAGCTGCATAGTGCTTCTCCAAACTTTAAGCAGTGCACCATCTTGCCCTTGCACTGTATTAAAATGTCACACTTTCACAAAGCTTAGTCTCCAGTATCATCTTACTGCATATAGAGAAATAAATTCCATCCAGCCAAACTTTGCATAGCAGAGTTTTAAAAAACACAGCACAGTACAAAGCAGTAAATTTACTGTATTTTGTCTGAGCAAAACAATGATGACAAACAGCTCCAAACAATTTATATGTTCCCAAGAAAGCATAGAAAATTTACAGAAACATAATTCAATCATACTGCCTTAAAAAAATAAGAGATTAGTTGATGTCTAAATTGGTAAAGTGTTTTCATAATAATAAACCTATCTCCCACCAAAAAGGCTCAGAAATACACTTCAATCCAGATTCTGCTCAGGTTATAAGAACAGATTACATAAAAGCTTCATAGCACAGAAATACATAAAACAAGAAATTAGTCATATTGGCCAGAACCAACACCACCAAAAGAAGTGGGCTAAATATGATAATGGAAAAAATTAACGGGGTTGTTATAACCTGTCATTTTTAAGTTGTTTAGAGAGTAAGAAAAGCTGTTCAGTTAAATATGTATGGTAACAAATAGCTGCTTGAGGAAAGATAATATATGATTCTGGAAAAGTATTTTTAGCATGTAGTGACTTATCACAGAATCTAGACAAGGAGTTTAAGGTTGGTCTTTCCAGCCCTACCATGTATGTAGTCCTGCAGGTAAGTAATTTTCTTACTGCTTTTATATCTCGTCTATTAGTGCTACATTAAAAACACTATTTCAGAATACGGGGATTATGCAGCGGGCAACACATTGATTAAGATAATAATGCAATGAGACTGCTTCAAAAATAACCACCAGCACTCAAACCCAACCAAGTAGCAAGTCACTGAGACACTGAATAGAGTGTTCAGTTTAATGCTGGAGTAGATCAAGCAATATTAACAGACCTTCTCCCACAATTATATTTGTTACAGTATTTGTGATCATTATTACATTATTCGTTAACTAAGCATAGCAGAAAAGTATCCTGTGAGATGACATCAGAATCAAACCTCCAAAGGCTTAGAGGAAGTATCTTGGGTTTTTTCAAATTGTAAAATGGGAAAAGTAAAACATATCTCATTCAATATAAGTTAAAGATGTAAATCATTTCAGTAGGAGTTTTTTGATACAGATTATATGTTTAGGCACAACTTTTGACAAGTGCTTCTACTCTACAGCACTGAACTGCACATAACTACCACCGCAAAGCCACCAGTCCAGGACTACCACATATCACAGCCAGTCACCTGTGGCATGTTTGCTAGACACAGTTAACACACAGAATTTTGAATTATACATGTCATGGCTAGTGCAAGGCCAGAAGCTGTGATTCTTTCAAAGAGAAGCTCAGAAGAAGGCAGGATGCCATCTCTTGCTCAAGGCAAGATGTCATTCATCAGATGTTCAACAATATTTTGTAACTTTGAAAGGCAGCATCTTTTGGCTCCTGGGTGTATTCAAGTTGTAACCTGAGAAGAAAAACAAAACCCAGTGCACTCCCATGGTTGCCAAAGCCCTATTTCAATAACTTCATAAACAGAAATCTGTCTAGTGAGCTTGTGTTTTAAAGAACACGCATCAGCAGAGAAACTGAAAAAGCAGCAGTGAAAGGCACAATTGACTGTGCCTGTCAAGGGGCAGACACACCACAGCAATGCAGAACTTGTTCTGAGAACAGTGTATAACTCACATCCAACTCCATGCTAGGCATAGACAGTAGTATTGATTTTAATCACCTACTAAGGCTGGATATATGAACATTAGACTTCACTCTCAGCACTGAATGCAGGATACAAAAAGAAAATAGGAACTTCCAACAGGCAAGTTACGTGAGCAGCCAGAAAGGTGGCCTGGTTAGGAAAGAAAAACAAATGATTACCGAACAAAAGAAAATGCCTGCCAGCCTGGGAACCAGACGCATCCTTGTCTAGTGCAGCTGGCCTCTCTGAAGTATGACTCAGATACCTACTATCTGGAGACATTCTAAGATACCACTGATAAGCACAAAGACCCCCAAGAAGCTCTAACAACAGCTTGTTGTCTGGAAAAGAACCCCCAGCACCTATTGGTGCTCAAAGATGTTCTGTCCTATACCCTCTGACACCTCTGTGACATAAAACCAACTCAATTTTTATCCAAAACAGAGCTTCTGAGAACTTCACACACCTGCAGACTGTGTAACCTAGAGACAGGCAAGTCTCTAGGAGAGGAATCAGTATAGAAGACACCACATGAAAAAGGCAAGAGAGTAACTATGCACGAAAACAAAATGTTTACCAAAACAAGTGAAAAATAAGGAGTGGACCTCTGAAGACCTCGTTTTTCCACTGCAGCTAGACACACAGGCAAGCCAGAAGCTAGACTTCTGCAAGACAACTCTGGAATTGTATACATAGATACACACCACAATTATTTAAAATTCAGAGCTTTCTGTGCCCTCCTAGATTGAATGAGCACTCTTGAGATGGAAGAAATCAAATCTGAAAGCCCTTCACATAGATAAAAAGTTCTATGTATTATTTCAAGCCTACTCTTTATAGCTGATACTTTTCTTGAACAAGGACAATTTTACTTTAACAGGGCGAAAAAGATTTGAGAGTACTTCAGCAGAATTAGAACAATTATGTGCATTAGGCTACTGTAGGAGCTTATAGCACTTTAATGGGATAAAGAAGAATTTAAGTGCTGTGCACCACAGGGCAGTTAAAAAATAGATCATTTGATAAAGATTTAAACTAAGCTAATGGATACGGTAACAATTATCTACAGACTGAATTGCTAGAAAGATTTTTACAATAATCTTTGCATGAATTCATGGGAAAAGATTTTACTGCTACAGTGTACTGTCCGCATATAACCATTTAATGAACTGTCTTCCAAAACTAGACTGAAATTAGCATAGATACACCTGATACCTCTGAAGTAGCTCATGTGGTTTCTAGTTTTCTAATCACCACTACAATGGGAGCATTTTTTAAGTGATATCATTAGCAGAAATCTGCCAATGTTCTTCCTCAGCCAAATTTCACTGCACAAATCAGAACAAGCAAAGAACAAATGAGAAGAGAAAATAAATCAGTTCAGTGGTTTACTTTCTCTCCTGCATACACATAGTAGATACAACTTGCACACACATTTACAAGAGCAATCTCTCTTCAGGTTTTCCTCTTTAAACTACATAGGTCCTTCTCAGCTTCTGAATAGAGCTATCACCTCTTCATATCCATTTTCACTGCTGTGACTGTGTGCATAAGGAAACATACTACAAAACTCATGAAAGTGTTACATGTTGCGTAGAGCTGATCAAGATGCTGACTGAAAGAGAGAGCAAGAAGACAATGTGCTGCTGAAGTTTCTTTGGCACCAGGCAAGGGGCTTTCCACAGAATAGCATTTCTCTGTCAGTCCCTACATCTGTGTAGAGGATCATTTCCTCCTTCATAATACATTTTATTGCTCTCAGGGTCTGGCAGGGAAAAGCGTTCTTTCTCACAGGCAAGAGCAGAGTCATAATTTTCCATAAGGAGCAGCAGAAATTCAAACAACATTATTTACTTGGCATACCTGAATTTTTGAAAGTTTGGGATTAATTCTTCCCTTACTTACAACATTATTTACTTGGTATACTTGAATTTTTGAAAGTTTGGGATTAATTCTTCCACTACTTACAACAGGAAGTGTAAATGGGTACTCTAATACAAGTAACTGCTTTACCCTCAGCCATGTTGCACAATTCAGCAGCTAGAGTCAAGAAATTCTTGATTAGGATAGGTTCTTAGTTCAATTTAATTCCAGAACAATAACTTGATTTCTGTTAACTTGAAAAGTTTACAAAGTATTCAGGACTTCTTTCACACTTAATGTTTATTCAGAGTAAGGAAAGCAATGTGTCCTACGCATCAGTGACCACATAAATTACCTAGCAGCATGCTGAGCATAATTCCTATGTATGAGACTCCTGATGAAAACTGGACAGTAAGAACAAAGTAAATATTTGCCTCTGATAAGCCCTTCAAGCTTTTGAAGAGCACAAAGTAGGCACAACCTTGCTGAACATAATTGTATTTTCTGTGAAAAATTAAGTACTCTACTTCTGCATGGCCTGAGACTCCCAAACCCCAGTACTGCCAGAAGGGGGTCTATACATTTTCAAGCTTCTACTAGACTCAGCCATAATTAAATCTCTTCAATGCTTTTGAAAATTCAACCCAAATGATCCCAGTTTCAACCTTAAAGATACTATGGTCCACCTGGAAGGTTCACTTGTCCCGCCTTGTGCTAGTTATAAATTGCAGACAATTTTTTTATTTCTCTTAGCTGTCTGCAAATGCAGATCTGAAATGAAACAAAAACTGGCATCTTGGATAGCTCACTCTCAGCAAGATTTCTTTACAGTTTCAGTACTTCAACTAAGATTTTCCACAAAAAAAAGCAAAGACTGGCCATTTCCCTCTCTGTAACTTCTTTTGTGGATGCCCTCTTAAAGAAATCATTGTAAGAGAAAAATGCAGAGCCAAAATCTACATCTAGTTACACAAATGCAAAAGCCACTAAAGTTGATGAACATAATGCAGTGTTGCATCTCCAGTGTTAATGGTTGATGTAACAGAAGGCACATGAGAACAAAAAACAAATATAAAAGCTTTCTCTGTTATCAGCTGCAACTAAAATGTATTACACACCACAGTTGCCCATACAAGTCAAAAGATAAAACAGTCCCACAGCTGAACTCTCTCTGCTTCCAGGAATGCAAGCAGAAGCAGCAGGTATCTGAGTATTCAGATCATGTCATCTTCCAAGACTTAAAAAGAAAATAATTATCCTCTAGTAATTGAAAATACA